ACTATATTTTAAATCCAGGATCACATATCTAAAATTTATGTCAATAAGAAGTGAAATATAAAAGAAATTGAAAACTTCAGGTACCTTTTTTTTGTGCAACAGGTGACGAGATATGAAGAGATGAAGAAATGAATAAGTCAAGACCCTGTTGAAGTCATAATCCTCAAGATTTCAGTCCTGGTCGATTTAGCCGACGACAACAAATACGTTTCCTGTGATCTTTTCACAGTAAAAGCCTGTTTGTTTTGTTTTGGATGAAAGCTTTTAAGCAGCAGTAGGAAAAGTTGTGAGCATTAGCACTCACTTCAAAAATCTCTAAGAATAAACAGATGTAAATTAATAAATTAACATTGGATCACGTACGATTTGTTTCCTGTGACGCTATTCGAGCCAAAGACGGATTTTGAGGATTATAAGTTAAAATGCGATGTGGTCGGTCCATTGGGAAACACTGTGACTTTAACAACATTCCTGGTGTTAACGTTTGATACGGTTAAAATAAAACCTCTGATCCTCAAATTAAACTTAAACAGAATTCTTCTACCAGCCAAACTTGAGCTTTAACACAACATAGACTGAAAGTGAAGATGCACAACGCGCCTCTTCTTCCTCCTGTTGTACAAAAATGAAGCTGAAACAGCTCAAATCTCAGAAACGAAAGCCGCCGTCTTCTGTTTTTGACGTCATGTGGAGCCGGAGTCTGTGATTGTCGAGTGGCAGCGCCCTCGACCGGTCACGAGTCAGTCTCAGCTGTCAATTTATATTTAAATGAATTTAAATTAAACACAAACTTATCAGAAAAGTTAACACTTGAACAAATAACTAACTATGATGACGGAACGCATCTTTGAGAAACATTTATTTGACATGAACTTTTACCTTTTTAATTTGGTCCATGCCCCATCTGCTAACCCGGAGGATGTACGGTCAAACTGTAGCCAGCCACCAGGGGGTGATCGAAAAACAAACCAGCAACGCTTTGGCTTCACTTGCCGGGAGCCGTCTCCATCTTTTTGCCCAGTGTATGATTTCGTATCCTGTATTTCATATCCCGTCTGCCAACATCGAGGAGGCAGGGTTCTTGGTCTATACTTCAGGCAGCCACCAGGGGGTGATGTCGTCCATCTTTATGTACAGTCACACTGACACAGCTGTTGAGGACTGAAATGTTTTCACGTCCATATTTAAATCGAAGGTTGTCCTCGTTTTCCACGTCAGGACTCGTCCGGTGTTCGATTCCGACACTGGGCGACTTTATTGTTTTCAAGGACTCGGTTCCCTTTACTCAGCGGAGGACTGGTTTCCTCCGGTTCCGCGACGCCACGTCAGCATAAAAGTAATTTATGAAACACAAACCAAAAACACTGTAGGGGGAGTTCGGTGTAGCAGGTGTCAGTGCCTTCGGGTGGAAACAGGAGACGTTTCTTACTCCTGATGATTTGCTGTTGGGTCGAAGGATTTTCAGCGAATATACAGAATCGCAAAGTTGGAGTCACCGTCCTAAACAATCCGAACGTCCCAGAGACACGTTCCTGTTCATGTTGACGACATTTAACCTGCGTGTGTTTACGTTTTTCTACGTGATTCATGTTGCAACTGTTCGTACGTGACCGCGCCTCATTCATTAAATGCAACAGACGCGTTCTGACTTCACGTCTATAGATACAGGATCTGGACCGTCATCGATCAATAACCGATCAAATGTGTTCGGAATCCTGCTCGAAGACAAACGTCACTTATTGGTTCTTGAACTCAAGGAACGGGGTTCTTGAATTCCAACATTCTCATTTGTAAACTGAAGATAAAAAAGTCATGTATGTTTGCGTATGAGTGAATGAGGCCCAGATGTTTTCATGTGTTATTATAATGGATGAACAGCGATCAGCAGGAGACAGATGTTTCCAGCTGGGAATCTTTCTGTGTCCGAACCATCCAGGAACACGTTGTTGAACCTTTGCGATTTAAAAAGAGCCATGTTCAGTCAGAGCGGACCAACTGTCAAACACTTGGTCTTCACGAGTAAAGACTCACATCTGACTCCGAGGACTTTCTACCTTTGTGCCTGAAACTATTCCGATCTGCCGTCGTCCGAACTCGTTATATTTTCACTCTATTTGTCTGAAGACCCCTGTGAGCGTCTCTCTGTGTCTTAGCAAAACACCGTCATCTGAAAAAAACTCTTTCAATTTCCTCCGGCCTTCAGCTTTCCCAGAGTTCCGTCTCACGCCGCAGCGGTTTCCTGTTTGTCCGCCGGGCCTTCGCACCAGAGCGCCTACACGTAGCACGTACGTGAGAATCTAACGCGCGGCCTCGGAGCGGCTGCATCTGCAATAACGAGCCTCCGTTTGGATATTATTTACCACCTGCTTACCAAAGACAGTCACCATGCGACACAGAGGAAAAGTGATTTATCACAAGTCAGAGTAACTTACAAGCTTCTGCCAAAAAAAAAAAAAGAGAAACGTCTACGAAACAGGACGATCAGCCGAGGAACCGCTGTAGCTCCTGAGCTGCAGCGTAAAACTGTACAGAAGTAAAACTCAATTAAAACGCCGAAACTAAAAGAAATGGATTTAGGTTTAAATGTCTTTTAAAGCATTTTTCAATCTTTCATTAAAGGAGACATATGAGGCTTTTAAAATGTTTCTTTCAGATTTTTTTTTTTTTTCTATCAAGGTTTTGGAGCTTCTCTCCTGCACAGAAAACACTGAAGCTCCTGAAACACCTCGTCATTAGTCCAAATTATACTCTGCATCATCGCGATGTCACATATACACGCCGCTGCTGATTGGCCAGCGCTTCTGACACGCCCACCAAATGAGAGACACGTACCTTGAAGCATCATTCAACTTGGAAACGGTGTCAGATGTTTTTTGCGACTGAACGTGCTCCAGGTAAAACGAAAACAGGGGCAAGCATTTCCTGCACTTGCTGGAAACAGTTGACCAATCACAACAGAGTGGACCAGCTGGCCAATCGGAGCAGACTGGGCTTTATTAGGAGGCGGGCTTAAAGAGACGGGAGCCCGAACCACGTGTTTGAGACAGAGGCTGAAAAGAGGAGCTGCAGCTATGGACAGTTTGAGGAGGGAGATGTTTTCTGAGCATCAGAGCGTGAAAACCTTTTTGAGTAAGAACACAAATTAAAAATAAGACCCTGAATTTGTCTCCTTTAATGAACACGGACACATTTTAATGGTCCGACTGAAGAAGCCATGCAAGGAGGCCACTGGAAACGGTGACAGACGTTAGCTGTTAAACGTCTTCTCATCAACTGGAGAATCTGTTCATGCTGAAACAAAGTCCCACAAAAAGCAGCGTCAACATTTTGCCTGGAAATCGTTCAGAAGGTTTCAAACCTGCTGAGTTTCTGAATCATCGTCGTCCGTGTTTGTCAACGTTTTCTTGTACGTGCAAGTTGGATATTTATCTTCTTTTCCGAACCTCGTGTGGCACAGGAATTCTGTCTGTAATCAATTCCAAAAATGGCCTTGAATCTTTTCACTCCGGTGCACGTGCAACACGTGTGTGTGTGTGTGTGTGTGTGCGTGTGTGTGCACTGAGGGTTTTTGATAAGGTGCTTTGTATAAAGGTGACAATAACGTTTATTACAGATGTTGTGTATATCTTTGATATTCTAATGTTTATCCTATTTTGCGAAGAACAGAGAACATTTAGGAGAAATCCAGAAGCTAGTCATGAGTGTCGTTGGTTCTGCACAGGGTCTGATCTTTGCTTTGTAACGTTTTTTTTTCTCCCCTCATGGCTAAAAGTATGTTAGATATTTTCTAGCTTTGTAGAGACTTTGTACGCATATGCTATTCAGTTTAAATAAATGGTCAGTTCCAAACTGTGCTCTGGGCTTTTGTCTTCACTCGTTAGTCCACATGCAACAAAGATGCATCGCAAACATTCATTCAATGAATCTGTGCCTTGTACGAGAATTTCTGACTATAGCCTGATCTAAACCACATTTAAATCTACTAGATCCAGATTTGAATGTGGATCCACACAAATGTACACACACTCAGACGTCAGTCCCCTAAATATGTCTGATGTGATCAAGATTTATGAATTATTCTCTGTGAAATCATCACAATGTTGAAGACGGAGATAAAATAATCCTTTAGAATCTCGTCTGAAGAGCAGGGGGAGCCATACTCCCAAAAACCCATCCATCTATTCATCAACAAAAGATCAACAGTCCTGAGATCCACTGGTTATAAGGAGGATGTAATTATTTCACATCTATGTCAATTTAATTAATATTTTATCTCTTAATTCATAAAGAGACAAATTAAATAAACTCTATTTTGAGTCAGTGATCTGCGATTGAAGCCATATATGGTTTTGGTTTCATGTCTCCAGGTTCTTCAGATTTGTCTTGATGTTTAAATCAGTGTAAATTGATTAGATTGTGTTTATTAATCATCATCTTAATTCTGAATAATCCCCAAACGTCACATTTCTACTTTGTAAGAAAGAATGTTTCAACCACAGTCACAGAACGAGCTCCACTAAAATAAAGAGCAGCTCTAAGTACTACAATACCCATGAGCCTCAGCTACTGTTGCAATAGAGAAGGAACCAACAAATTCAAAAACATGTTATAGTTGAATTGAACGTCTGATTTCCAGATTATAAAATCTGAAGTCTTTAACATCAGTCAGTGACATGATGCTGCCTGCACCTGCAGAAGACGAAACTAGAGCTTGAGACACAAAAGCGTCCGTTCGTGTAATCACAACTATGACGAGTAAATAGTGTTTTTAAAACGTGCATGGCATCATCATCACTACCATCTGACATCAGATGCTGAAGAGAAGCCACCACAACCATCACAAGACGACGAGCCTCCCCTGATGTACGTGAAAAAGACGTTAGTGAGATATGGAGAAGTTCCTCAGCCTTGAAGGTAACACCAGGTTGTTGCTAAGGTGGTTAGCTAGTTTGCTTTTTTCTGGCATGTTATTCAAGATTCAAAGATTTTATTGTCAAATACACAGAGAACACACGTTTCCCTATGAATTGAAATTCTTGTGCTGTCCTTTCTGGAATACCGACCAAATTTACATAAGAATTCGATATTTACATAAATTACAATAAGGCTATGAACATGTTAAAAATAAGGCAGAAACGAGGAGAATGAGGTGAATAAGGTGAAGATGCTGCAAAACCGAGCAGTGCAAATTTAAACAGTGGAAAATTAAATAAAATGTATACAATATAAATTTAAACAGTACAAATGGAATACTTTAAGTTAAAGTGCAGACCAGTGTTGCAGTGGTGAGGTAGGTTAGAGTCCTGTCAGCTGTTGAGGAGTCTGATCTTCAGGTCTGAGAAACTGAGGAAGGTGACGACATGAGCTGCTTCCTGCTCTTTGATTATTTCCACTTTAATGAATCTATTTAAAAGTCAAATAGTCGCTCATGTCAAGCGTCTGTGTTTCGTTATATGAGCGACTAATGGCGCCCTTTAGACTCATTTCTTTTACTCATATAATTCCTTTGGGGATATATGATGTCATAACATTGAACAAATAAAGAAAATGATTTAAAAGCGTGTTTGCAGCAGGACTCTGCATGTGGTTTCCCTCCCGTTGGCGTGGTGATCCCCGGCGGTATCCTAGCAGCTGCAGCTGTTTGTTGGCACGGAAACAGAACAGGAGCTTAGAGACACACACCAGTTCCGACCTCAGATGTCCTGGTCGATGTCTTCATCTCTCTGAATGTTCAGCGCAGCCTGATGTCGGAGGAGCGAGCTCTCCTCTCCTGACACCTGAAGGCCACCAACTCATGAAGGCAACATTATGAAATAAATAAATGTTGTCTTTTGAAAAACATAAATTTATTTTATTACATATGTTTTTTTTTCAGTTTTTATTTCATAGCCATATTTATTTATTTATCTGATTATTTATTTATCTATTCATTTAATTTGGACTCAAACAGAAGAGAGGACATGGAAATACACACTGCAGCAGTTTTTTTCGACTTTAAACCACTGATATATCATCTCGGGGGTACCCATACCCCTCAAGTCTCCTCACACGTCACCATAATATATATATCTCCTTGATCAAATATATCAGAACCACCTCTTAAATGTAATATTTCTTCCCCTGATGTGACTCCCGGAGTTTAAAGGAGGTGATTCTGCCTCCGACTCTCTCTGAGGAGTGGCCAAGAGTCCTTGAGCAAACTGTTCGAGGAATAGAAATCTTCCTCCAGCTCTCACTCTCATTTATCTCCAGGTCCAGGTCCCAGTCTCACATGAGAAGTCATTTTGACCTGGAGGAACATGCGAACGACCTCCGCGTCTGTTGAGGATGAATCGACGGTTGACAACACTTACGTTAATCATCTTAGTGGTAACATGTTAGTAACATGTTTTTAAATGCTTAGACTCCAGTTCAACCTGAGGGACCTGTTCAGCTGAGCTTCTGTTAGAACAGTCAGCCCTCGATGAAACTCTCTCTAATCTGCCTCAACATCGCTCCCTCGCTTAGATCCGTGTTTCACTTTATTATCACATGAGAATCTCGTCGAATGTAAGAAACTAGAAAGAGTAAATGTTCACTCAGACATCAGAAAGTGTCAAATAGTAATAATTGCTTTATAAGAAATAACATAAAAAAAGACCCAAATCACAATTAGTCTCATAACACTTTAATAAGATGAGAAATCCTAAAAAAAACATTTAAAAAAACCTGCTGACAGGGGAAACAGAACATAGAAGCCTCAGAGAGACACGTGAGAGGAACTCTCTCTCCCAGGAGGACAGAAGTGCAGAGGAGGAAAAAGAAGGAAAGATAAAAGAACAAGGACGACAGCCTACTGCCCCCTTGTGGTCTGACAGGCCACCACCATATGCCCCATAGGGGAGAATAGGCAGCTTTTGTACAAGTTCTTTGTGGTCTGGACTCTGTGGAGACTCTCTCTACTCAGGACCTGACAACAACCAGTGAATCTGTCTGGATGATCAGAATAAACCTGTTCTTCTCTCACTGCTGTCACTTTTCTGTTTCCCTCAGATAATAACAGACGTGTGTTTGCTGTGTTTGGATCCAGTGTGATTTCCTGTGGATATTTGAAGACGTCAGCTCTGGTCTTGGGCTCTGGTTGTGGCAGTAAAACATCCACTYGAGACACAATCTGTAAAATCTTTGTCTCYGTCTCACTCAGAATGTCCTGTAGTCGACCTCTGACCTGTGACACAGCTGCTGTCACGTCCTCAAAGTTCCTCGGAGGACGGATCCTGATGCTGGATGAGTGTGTAGATTCACTGAGTGACAGTGGGGGGGGGCTGCTTCAGTTCATCGTCTCTCCTCTTCAGCTCAGTGATCTCCTGCTCCAGTTTCTCCTGAAGCTCTTTGACTCGACTCACTTCAGTTTCCTGCCGGGATCTGATCTGCTGCTTCACATCAGAGCTTCTTTTCTCCAGCAGACGGATCAGCTCRGTGAAGATCTTCTCACTGTCCTCCACTGCTTTATCAGCAGAGCGGYTGACKGCCTCCTCCTCCTGTTGAAGCAGCTTCACATGTTTCTCTCTGTCCTGGAGTCTCTGCTGGATCGTTTGTCTCCTCGGCCCGAGCTCTCTCTGCCTCTCAGTCCTTTCTGCTGCAGTTATTTCTCATGGAGTTCCTCCGGGTTCTGTCCTTGGACTGATCCTCTTCACCTTATATCTATACTTAAACAATAATCACATCCGTCACAGATGATGAACTGAAAAAAGGTTGGAAAATTGATTATGTGAGAAGAGTGAGAGCGAGAGAGGAGTCGATCGTCTGCAGTAACTCAGCCAGACGACTGTGGCGGTCTGCAGACTCCAGCAGTCAAACGCAGCCTTGTTAGCGAGCACAGTCAGCGAGGCTTTGACGGAGATTAAAAAAAAAAAAAAATCCTTGAGAATAAAATGAGGTAAATAAAAAAAATCTGCAGATTAATGTGGCTCCAACCGTGCAGTATCTCGTCTGAAGAGCAGGGGGAGCCATACTCCCAGAAACCCATCCATCTATTCATCAACAAAAGATCAACAGTCCTGAGATCCACTGGTTATAAGGAGGATTTCATTATTTCACATCTATGTCAATTTAATTAATATTTTATTTCTTAATTCATAAAGAGGCAAATTAAATAAACTCTATTTTGAATCAATGATCTGCGATTGAAGCAGCGTTTAACCTTTAACCTTTAGCTGTGGGTCAGACGATACGATGACATCACAGGAAATGAGATCAAAGATAGGAAAAAAAAAAACAAAAAAAAAAAACATTCTGTGTTATCTCACATCCCAGACACTGACGGACTGATCCTCTTTATCCAAATCTGCTGCACGCCACGCTCTGTGTGTGTGTGTGTGCTGCTCTGAGTAATACTGTATGTTTGTCTGCACACACACACACAAACAAACACACACACAAACACACAAACACACACAGGCATTAGTGTGTCCTCCCAGATGTTTTTCTGAGCAGTTATTTGACCAACAAACGTGGTTTAGTGTATAACTGAGCTGAGGTTACAGAAACACAAACGCACTAATGGTGGCTGCTGGGGGATGACCTCCATTAATGTCACATACATACACACGCACACACACACAACAAAACACTCTTCATGCAGACAGATAAATAAATAAATGAACAAATCCCTTTATGAGTTTGATGTTCGGTGGTGAAAGAGCAGATTATGGACTGTGTGACATCAGAACTCTGTGGGTGTAATAGATGGATTTTCCTTTTTGCTTTCACGCTCAATCCATCTGAGCCCTGAGACGTTCGGCTGTGACGGGATTACGAGGATGAGGCCGCGTAACAATGCTGCCGCAGAGTCACTGCTTCATCGGTGGTTTCAGCTGTAGCGTGGCGGTTCTTTCTCTCGGCCCAGAACCTGGATTCATGGTTCGTGTGGAAGATCGTGAAAGATAAAGCAGAACCTGTGTAAAGCAACGCTTCTCCTGGGTGTCATGAATTACACTTAGAAAATAAATCACGAGGTGTCATATGACTCAACTGTGAAACTTTAAGTTCCTCTGTCGTGAGGTTTGATAACTTATCCTAATATCGAATATCAGCAACAGTGCAGAAAAACTTATATCGGTCGAGTTCTGATTCTAGTCCACCTGTAAACTGTTATACTGTGTGTGTGTGTGTGTGTGTGGCAGAGAGAGAGGCTGGTAGAGAGACACGGAGGGGGCGTGTCTCAGTGCTCTCTCAGCCTCCTCCTGTTTGTCCCGCAGCAGAAGACTCTGTCCCGTCACCAGGACGCACCTCTCCTCCTCTCCTCCTCCTCTCCGGAGCAGTGCGCCGGCCTGAGCTCACTCTGCTCGGGTACAGAGAGGGATGAGGCCCCGGCAGGCAGCCCGGGAACACCGAGGACATACATGATGTAATGACTCTGGAGACATCGCTGCTGGTTCTTCAGGGACTTGACGGGGTTCGATGTCCGGACTCCCGAGCGCGTCAAGTGGGAACTTTACGCAGAGAGATTTTTTTGGGATGAATTTTACGCGTCGATTATGGATCATTATGTTTGAATTAACTCCAAACGGACTCCGGAATCTAAAGACTGTTCTTGTGTGTGTAACTTTCTGAGTCACCGCGTAAACTTTTTTTCTCCCGGAGATGGAACCGGAGGAGGGGAAGATCTCCGTGTGGGTATGCCGGGAGGAGAAGCTGGTCTCCGGCCTGACGAAGCGAACCACCTGTGCCGACGTGGTGAAGGTTCTGCTGGAGGACCAGAACCTGCAACAGGGCAGCTCCGCCGCGATGCTGTCCGGCTCCCCGCAGTCCTACTGCGTGGTGGAGAAGTGGCGGGGCTTCGAGAGGATGCTACCGAACAAGACCAAGATCCTGCGGCTGTGGAGCGCCTGGGGAGACGAGCAGGAGAACGTCCGCTTCGTCCTGGTGAAGACCGACGCGTCGCTGCCCAACAACGGGCCCCGCAGCGCCGAGGCCCGGGTGGTCCAGAGCCGGGAGAGCGGGGGTCCGAGCGCAGGACTGAAGGGCACCGCCAAGAGCTGCTGGACCGCCGCGGCCGCCGCAGCCAACCTGTCCCAGGAGAAGCAGAGGCGCATCGTCCGGAAGGCTTTCAGGAAGCTGGACAAGATGAACAAGAAGAAGGAGCAGACTGTGTGTAAAGACAAGGGCTCCGTGGAGAAGATGGAGACGCTGGTGCACCTGGTGATCTCCCAGGATCACACCATCCGGCAGCAGGTCCAGAGGATCAAGGAGCTGGACCGAGAGATCGAGCGCTACGAGACCAAAGTGCACTTCGACCGCATCCAGAGACACGGGGTGAACTATGTGCAGGACACATACATGGTGGACGCAGTGGCGGACACCGCTGCTGCCGCCGCTGGGTCGGACTGTCAGGACGCGCGGTGCACGGCGGAGGCGCTGGCGCAGTTCGAGGAGTACGCGCGCCGCTGCGAGGAGGTGGTGCGGCTGCAGGAGGAGCTGACGGAGCGGGAGGCGCTGGTGGAGTGCATCACCGGGGAGATCCAGGAGGAGCTGAACCGGCGCTGGATGACGCGGCGGCGGGAGGAGAGAGGAGCGGAGGCCGCGCAGGAGGACACGGAGGACGCTGCGGTGGAGCTGAGCCTCGCCGCGTCTGCCGCTCCAGCTGTGGAGACAGATGTGGAGAGTCTGCCCGAGAACGAGGTCCTGCTGGAGGAGGAGAGGATCAAAACGCAGCTGGACACGAGTCTGTACATCGGCCTGAGACTGAAGACAGACCTGGACTCCATCAGGGGGGACTTGGACCTGAGTCTGGCACTCTGGGAGACCAAGGAGAGCGAGCTGCTGGACCTGCTGGCCCGAGTGGAGAGCATGGACATGGAGCAGGTGGACGCCACGGTGGGCGATGGTGCTGAGGAGGAGCTGGGGGCAGGGGGCGCTGACACTGAAGCTGCACCCTCAGAGAAGAGCAGCGGCTGGGTGGAGCAGGCCAGAGGTCTGTCCAAGGCCTGCAACACCAACGACGACGACTCGGACACAGGCCTGAGCTCCATGCACAGCCAGGACTCCGACAACCCTCCTGTGTGCGAGTCGCTGGTGTAACTTTGGACTCGAACGCAGAGCCACAAACTCAGGGGCCGAGGAAATCAGTGTTGGTCGAAACTGGGAGATGGTCTTCCTTTCTCAAAATGCACCTCAGTACGGACACTGTAATTCTATAGCAATAATTTCTGTATGTAGTCGTTGCACAATAAGCTAGGAGAGGTGCTGCTCCATCGCTGACCTTTGACCTCCATGTGGAGGGTCAACAAACTAGACCACGTGTTAGGAGAAATAGCCTCGAAGAGTATTAAAGCTGCCACTTGTATTCTGTAGTCCTCAAACTGGTTTACAAAGAGCGGATCCCAGGTCGCTGATAAGTTGCTGCATCAAACGGACAGTTTCCCCTTAAAAGGTCGACGTCAGGTGTGTGACTGCACAGTCTGATGTCATCACACACACACACACACACACACACACACACACACACACACACAC